GCGGAGGGACCGTGAGCACTTCCCCGCGCAGCCACGAGAGAGCAGCCGGCAATTAGGGCTGGAGCGCTCCGGGGGCGCATCCATCACCCGCAGCGCTCCGGGAATCAGCCCTGCAGCACATCCCCGGCGCTCTTGGAACTAAACCCGACTCAGCAATGCAAGCCGGGGTTAACTAAACCCGGGCTACTCCTTCTGAGCCGCTGCGAGGTTTGGCCGTGGGTTGGTGGTGCATGGATGGGCTGGAGGCTGTGGATGCTGCCCCGGAGCAGAGGATGGGGGGAGTTTGTCCCCTGGCTTTTGGATATTCTTTTTCAAAAGGCTGCCTAATGACTGCTGGCAACTTCGGCGGACCTTTCACTTTACCTAAAAGTCCAAAAGTTAAGTTGTCCATTTTCCTGTGTGCTGAATAATATAGTCAGGCATTGGCTGATCAAAGCGCCTGCCCCGTGAAACGCAGCTGAAATAAGTTTTCCACACTTTATTTCTCACATGCTAGATACATTGATAGAGGCAAGAAATGTCGTGTGGACAAGCAGGCACAGGGAGGGGGTCTGTGGGGGTCTCCTGCCTGTTGCTGTCCCAGCCAGGGTACATTCTATCGAATCATAGAATCATTTAGGTTGGAAAAGACCTCTAAAATCATCGAGTCCAACCATCCCTGATGCTCCTGTGAAGAGTTGCAGCACTCCCAGAATATTTTAAACTCTTGGTTATAAACTCAAACTTTCTTCAAAGAGCTTCTGCCATGAGGTTTGGGGTGAGCTATCAAGAAAGGAACACAAATATTATAAATAATAGAAAAATTATTTATGTTCCTGGACAATACTTTCAAACACGGATAGTATTTAAAAAACCCAGAAATCCCCCGAAACCTCAGATCACATATGAATCATGTAGTTCACGAGGCACATGTTTACTTGTGTGGTTTCTGGGGTACATATTTTCACAGGCATGTAAGAGCGACTCCTGGGCACGAGTCCGGGGCAACGTGCCCAGCCCAGAGCTGGGATGTCCAAGGCTCAGTCCCATCCCACTGCCAGAGCCTTGCACACCTCCAGACATGGCCTGGCACTGTCTGAGCAAGGCTGGGGTCAGTGTCCTCCCTAGGGCAGGGGCAATGCCTGTGTGGCACAGCCCCTCAGCAATGGAGCTTTGGCTCTTTGGTTTCAGCTCTGGGGTGTCCCTGAGCTGGGGTTCCATCACTTGAGGGAGGTACTTTGCTCCCAGGACTTTCTCTTGGGAGAAGGAGGAAGAGGAGGAGGAGGAGGAGGGACAGTGGGCCTTAGGCTGAGGAGTCTGCAAAGAGATTTTAGTGCTTTGCCCCACATCCTCAAAGGCACTGAGCTCCCCGTGAGGAGCCCCTGCAGCACCAGCCCACTCCCAGGTACTGTCAAGTTGGAGCCTTACAACAGAAATAAAAAAACTCCTAACAATAAACAAAAAAGTAAAGTTAGAAAACAACAAAGTAATTAACCACCAGCACAGCCCTGTGTGTTGTTTTCTCTTTGGCAGCCCCTCTCAGAGACGCTCTGGCTCCAGCCATTCAAGCAATTTCCTATCACTTGACTTCAAAACCAAGCACCACCACCAATAACCAGCAGCTCTGCCATCGCTGACCTGCTCTGACCCTGGGACAGGACACACAGCCAGCCCAGCACAGGTGGGTGAACCCCCCTCACCTTTCAGCCAGGGGAGTTTGAAGCCACCTCCTCATTTCTCGCAGCCATTGCTGCTGCCTCTGTCCCTTAGGTGAGCACTTCCTCCAAATTACATTAATGTATATGCAATTAAATGCAATACTTACATATAAACACCACATATTATATTCAATATATATGAGTATTGTAAGAACATAAATGCAGGAAGGAGTGAAAAGCAGCAAAATGAGTTTGAAACCACTTTAACTCCAGGGATATTTCCAGCCCTGCCTTAGGGAGAGTCAGCCTAATTCAGCAGAGGCTTCATTCAAATTATGCTGTCATAGGAATATCACTAATTAACTCTACACTTAAATATCAGAGAAATGGTAAGAAAACAAGGTCTTGCTTTATACTTAATAAACACCTATTATTTAGTACTCAATTTAAAAGTTTATGTCAGTATACTTAACTGAGAGAGATCAGATAGTTGGTTCAATAAGCAGATCCTATGAAATCTAGTAGAAGGTGCTTTGAAGGACAACCATAATGTTTGGTGGGGAAGTGAAAAAAGCCCTCCAAGTGAAGTGCACAATGGAACTATTCCTCTAAATAAATTTGGGGTTAGTGAAGGGCAATAACAGCCACCATGTGGTGGTACCACGGGAAAAGTAGAGCCAAGCAGCCAGTGCTCAAGTTAAATTTTCACAAAGTTTTCTCAATCCCTTCATTTGATCATCCTAAAATGTTTTCAGAAGCTGAAATTTTTCCTCCTGATATATGTTGCACCCAGTAAATGTTGTTTATATCGACCCCAAACAAATCTTAACTGAATCTCTACAATGATGTCTAAGTTCAGAGAACAAAAATAATCATTCCAAAGAGTGTTTAAGGTGAAATCAAGCTAGGGTTGCAAAAGGCTGGTGGAAAACATATTGGATGGCATGGGCTGACAGTCAAGCTGCTAAACACACCTTCTGGACCAGTTTTAGGAATTGCTTATTAACCACTTCAATAATAAACAGAGAGGCTAAGGGCATGCAATAAAAGAAAATCCAGTGGATATTTAACTCAATATCCTCAAGCACGACACATTTATTTCATTCAAAAATTCTTTGTTGTTGACTCTGTAATGTGATTCAGTGTTTACTTCAGCTAACGATTTTTAGGCATCTTTCAGTGGCCTTTTGGGGCTATAAAAGCAGTGAAGATCTGCGAGACATGTAAGGGTTCAGTTTGGTTTTGAAATGTAAACCATATCAAAGGAAGTTAAATTTCTATTTAATCTTCACCAACAAGTTTCTGGAAAACCATACACCCTGAAAGCATTGTAGAGTGACACAGTGATGAAACATAGCAATGGGCTCGATGCTGCAGTGCAAAAGAAGGGTTTTATTTCCATATCTGTTTTCATTTGTGTGCTTTGGGGTCAGCAGGAATGGCCCCAAAGGTGGGTACTGCTTTTGGAAGATGTGAAGCAATGAATTACTTTCAGGGCTCTTCTGTAGTAGACACAGACTCCTATAAATATGCCTATTTCCAGTTTTTTTCTGAGGGAAATATTGTAGTGTATTTAAGGTTCAATTTGACTGCATTTCTGAAAGTTACATTGCACTGCGGATGGGCTGCTGGGGAAAGAAGTTAGTCCTTAAAGTGATTCTCATTTCTGCCCTGAGCTAAAATTTACTTCTCACAGCAGTTTGAAGCATTTACTTCTCACAGCAGTTTGAATAAAATGCAAACAGAGTTAGTTCTTCTGTCATCCTTAAGAAAATAAGTCAGAGTGGGTCCTTGCAGTTTGCTGATCCAGGATTGTTTTAAGATACAATTGTTAGGCATGTTTTAAAAAGAAAAAAAGATCTTTCAAGAGCTCATTTCCCAGAACATTACCAGCCAACAGCTCTAATGGGCTCACGACACACAACAATTGTTGACTAATACTATGTGTTTTGCAAAGAAAAAAAAAAAAAAAAAGAAGAAACAAACTCTTATATGTTTTTTGTTGAGATATATTTAGAGAGCTTTCTTATTGTTAAGAGCTTTAGGAACAATAATCAGTGGTATGTCATTCTGGTATTGTTAGCAAAGTCCTTTCTATTGAATTTTCAAGATGTTGTAAAGTGAGATTATGTGAGTAGCACCTCTGGACACTTTTTCCCATCATTGTGTTGGTATCAATCGCTGACTTCCACTGTTTCTCCTGGTATTAAATGAAAATGTTGTTTCCCACTACGCTGATTGGAGGCTGTATAATGCATGACATAACTGATAACCCTACTGAGATTACACATTGTAAGATTCAAACTGCACGAGAAATTTGGACAACAAAGTAGGTGGCCACTTGGACTGGGAGGCAAAGTTTAAAAGAAAGTGTACCGAGATCATTGTTTCAGCTGAAATGAAGAAACATTACAAATGGATAATTTACGAGGCTGGTTCCTCAGGTTTTGGGAAAATGCTTCTTTTTTTTTTTCCCCTTGTTGTTCTGTGGGGACAGTAGCTAGAATATATTTTCCAAGGGCAAAGTGTTGCCCTAAGGCACCTCAGCCTCGCTCACCCCTGGCAGAGCTGTATTAGAGCAGAAACCCACACCCTGCTGAGACTCCTGACATTTTCCAAAGAGGAAATATTAAAAATTCAGTGGCAGAGTGGAGGAGGAGTAAGTTGTACTTTGGAATAGCGGTGAGCTGAGAAAGCCAGATTTTTCAATTCTATAATAAAACCCCCTGAAAATAATGAAAGGTTTTGAGCTGATTTCTGTGTTACACCCCAGCAGTATCTGCCAGCATAAAGAGCAACACAGGGAGTTCTCTTATAGCAGGTTCTGGCTGGTGCCATTTCCCTCACACCATGTCAGGTTGTTTTGGTCTTGCACTTGTGCTTCAGAAGGATTTTTTCAAGAGATGACTGAGCTGGTCAATGCCTCTGTGCCATCCTGCTGGTTACCCACGCCTGCTTCTTTTCCCACCATGGCAGGTTTAGGGTAGTTCAAGACTTTTTTTAGGGTTTTTTTTTGAGTGGGATTTACCCCACTCCCTTCTCTACTTTGTTCTTTACACAGTGGCCTTGTGTCCAACTTTGCTGTTTCCTAAACTAACAGAGGGTGGCATGTGCAGAGCTTGGCTTATGGCCAGCACAAGAGGAAGGAGAGGTCACTGGCATCCCACTCCCTGCCCATCCTTACAGGCAGCAAAGAAAAGCATGGGGGAAAACTCAGCTACAAGCCATGCTCCTGCCCTTCAGCACCTCTCAGCCTGGTCTCTATGCTCAGCCAGGGCAGGGACAAATTCAGACCTGACTCTGGCACTCCTCAGCTGATGGGGTGTTAGGTCCAAAAAGTAGTTCTTGATCTCCCATTCAAAGTTTTTATGGATGAGTGTAAAGCTGGAGCGAGTTGCTCCATGCAGTGGTTAAGGTTTTAATAGCTCTTAAGTAATAAAAACATCAGAGCTGCTTCCAGGGAGTACCAGGGAATCAAGTCTAAATGTAATAAAGGTCTCTCCTTCGTTATGGTGGCTTGCAAAGTGTTTTGTGGCTTGTGGTTGCACAGAGCAGAGGGGCTGTGGATCCTTCTGAACCAAACTTTTACTACACCAGTGTGATTGCAGCTGACTGGACTTCACACCTCTGGGAGTAATTCCTGAGGAAGGGTAGATGTGTCAACGTGCTAGGACCTCTCATTAGTCCGAAAATGGCAAAAATTTTCCTCCCTTAAGACCTGACCCCAGTGCTGGGTGCTGCAAAATATTCCTGGCCATGCTCAGACTGAGGCTGAGGCCATTCAGAGATGAATTCAAGAGAGGACCCACCAGACTGGTGCCCAACTGGCCCTGCAGCCACAGGGGGCAGGGAACAGACTCTAATGGGGCTTGTTCAACTGGACAGGGAGTGATGGTTTTGAACTAAAAGATGATACATTTAGACTAGATGTAAAGAATTTTTTTATAACGTGGGTGGTGAGGTCCTCTGGCTGCCCAGAAAAGCTGTGGCTGCCCTGGCCCTGGAAGTGTCCAAGGCCAGGTTGTGGAAGGTGTCCCAGCCCATGGCAGAGGGGCTGGGACTGGATGGCCTTTAAAGGTCTCCTCTAGTCCAAACTATTGTATGATTCTATGAAACAGCTGGGTACAGTAAAACACTTGGTTCCTTAACTAGGAAGATCAAAATCCTTCAAATACATGTAGGAAACAGTTTTGAATTAGACCACTAAGTTTTGTTCTCCAGTGTTTTACTTTCATTTGGATTATGGATGACCTGATACTGAATCTGCTGGGATTTTCACATTAATCCCTCTGAAATTCAGGGGAGGTTGAATGTTTAAATTAATTTCAACATCTCAGCTCATGTCTAAATTTTAATTTTTTGTTCCTAGTGTATCAGCACTTCAGATGTCCAAAAAGTCTTTTAATTTCAGGAGTAGAGAAAGCTGTGTGGATGAGATGGGACAGGATCCTTGGAGGATGCTGATGTCAGGTTTGCATTTTGTGTGTGGAGAGGGCAGCTCATCACCTTTCTCTCTTTTGATGGCAACTTTACTGCAGGAGACCCCACAGTGAGCTGCTGCTGCTGAGCACCCCGAGCTCTGTTATCCCTGCCGAAATCTCTCACTCCACTTGTGAACTTTTCCAGGAGATTTTCTAGCAGTTCCTCCACTGGCCACCCTCGGGAAGACAGAGGGGCTGGTGTGGGGTGGACAAAGGAGCTGCTTTGCTGCAGGGCCTCGTTACACCCCTGCATACCTCACCCCAATTAGCCTGGACCTTAATTGGGGCTGACACGCTCCCGTTGAAAGAGATTCCCCAGGAATTAAAGCGCTACTTCTCGAGTTTGAGTTGGCTGGTGCTGTGAAACATGACATGGTCTTGGAGAATTTTCTGTGCTTACCATGAAACGAGCCTGCCACAGGTATCAAGCGGGCTTTGTGTTGGGGCTATAATCATATTACAAATTGAACGCTTCCACATGTGCGTGCTGGCACATCCACCCTCGGCTATCTCACATGTATCTGCCCCAAGGTACAGATGCTGAGGTCTTGACATAGCATAATATGGATCTAAATATATTTTCCAGATTGCCTTAGCACATGCTAATGAAAATGAGGAGTAAAAGGCCTGAAAGAAGCAGCTGTTTAAAATTTTCTTCAATCCCCGAAAATCAACTTCTTAATTACTGATAATTTAAGCATCAAAATCCCCACTAACCCTCTTCTCCCACTAGACCCTCCCAAGCTGGGAGGCCTGCTTGAAGACTCTGGGGCAAAACTTTTTCTTAGAAGTGTAGCATTTCATCAAATTTCTTTAGCTTTTCTGGAATTAATTAGTATTAAAATAAAGCAGGGAAAAGGCGAGTGCCTGCTGGAGGTGCCTCCTCTCAGACCCCCCGCTTAGACTGCTAAAGCTCATTGTACCACAATACTTTCATATATCCACAGCACCTTTCATAATAAAAGGTTCCCCAAATGGATTTATAGATATAAATAGCTTCAACTGCCTTTAAAATGTGCGCCCTCTTGGATCAGAAAAAGTAGGCTTTGCTTCCACCATGCAAAAGGATCTGTGTTCAGTCTGGTTTGTGTTCATACCTAGGTGGGCAACCAGTCCCAAGCAAAGTTTAGGCAGCAGTTTTGGGATAAAGGCTTGCAAGATGTTCCATGAATCCATGGATCACTGTGGGGCAGTGGGGCCTCTTTCCAGGGATTATCTAAATGTTAGTCTTACCAAAAGCTAAATTCTGGGATAATTTTGCTGAAAATTGTTTACCTCTAGCAGCCAATGAGACTGAAACAGGGGCAAAAAATAATGGAAAAGAAGAGGGACATGATGCTTATTTTTTTTACTTCTTATTTGATGTTCACCATCTCCCCAGACTTCCCTAAATGACTCTGAACTTGAGTTGAGCCTTTCCTAAAGCTGGCACTATTTTCTGTACAGAAACAGAAGTTGAATTAGTTTGGCTCTTGCCAGCCCCAGACTGGGTGTACTCCCAGACCTACAGAGCCAGTCAATGGACGGGAGAAAAGCTGGTTTTGGCCAGGCTGCACAAAACATTTTCCTGCTCACTGGAGTCCTGGCAGGGAACATGGGTTTTGACATGGAAAAAGGGGGTTTCTGTTTGCTGCTGGATACCTTTGTTTTGTTTAAGTCATTACTGGAATCATCTTTAGAAGTGACTTTTCCACACCACTCTACGAGTGAGCAACAAAACCACAACTGGGACTAAATATAGCTGGAAGGCAGAGAGAGCAGTGGAGCCATCCAGGAGCTCACAGTGAGCTCTCCATGTGAGAGACCTGACAGAAAGTTTTAAAGCTTGAGACACGCTTGGAGCAACGGGCCAAACTGAATAGCTGAGCAAAAGCAGCCCTGTAAATGCTTTTATAATAACTTCCCCTCCCATTACTCCACAAATGTACCCACTGGAAACAGCAGCTGACATGGGAATGGTGACTGAGACCCACAGGGGTATTGGGGAGCTGGGCCAGGGTGAAATATTGATTAATCATCTTGTCATGCTGGGGCTTTGTTCGGTTCTGTAGATAGGAATTGAGAGGGTAATGTGCAGCTCCTCCATCTAGGAAGGCTGCTGGATCACATGGGAATGATTTGTTGATTTACAGAAAAGTACTACAGTGGAGTGAACAGTAGGATGATGCTGAAATAAGCTGAAGGCATTTTTGAAAAGTATTGACTTTTTTTTCCTTAAAAAAAATTAAATTACTGTAGCAGAATGCCAGAAACATCAATCCTCACTCAGCATCTGTTTGCTTCTGGACAATTGCACCTGTGTGGTCCATTGGGGAGGGTATGACACAAAGACAAAAATTATCCAGTTCTCTTTGCTTATTGGGGGATGAGATGAGTAATCAAATCTGGGTTTGCTTTCCAGCTATTCCTCTGGGTGAACAACTCTGGCACTGAGACAAGGCAATGAAAATCAAGGTCATGGTAAGGGATCTATATGGAGTTGAAGGACTCCTGATATTACAGAAATACACTTTGTCCCCTCTGCTCATTGAACCCCGTGGGCAGAGCTGCTGGGTGGGAAGCTGTGACAAGAAAATACCAAGTTCCAGACAACCAATGGGAAAATCAGGCCAGGGATTGGTGGCAGTCACTCCCTGGTCAGCAGATCTGGTTATGGGCAGGTTGAACTAACCCTGAGCTCAGATCAAGGAGTACTTTTCCTTTTTCTATGATCTGTGTGCTACTGTAACCCAGAACATTAAACCCAGGGGACACTGTCCCACCCTTTCTCCACCTCCCAAACCCTCTTTCATCTAGGGCAGGTGAGGGCAGAGCTGATAAGAACTGTCATTGCATCAAATTAAAGGGGAAAACGATCTGGAAAGTTGTTTGCAGATAAAACTTGACTTGATTAATCTATTTGTTCTCTGTATTTGGCAGAAACCTAAAACCAAGTTTCACAGTGACTTTAACTGCTAAAAATAATAGCCTATTTATGCAATTATCTGCATGTACCTGGCCATTGCCTGAGGCCAGTGCAGTACAAGAATATGCACATGGGATTTTTTTTTGTCTATTTACATTTTTTCCAGGTGGGGTTTAGACTTCCTGCATGAAAACCATTCGGGTGTGGGTCTCAGCTTGCCACCAACTTGTGCAGAAGGCTCTCAAGCTGAAGGAGCAAACCAAACAAGCCCACACCTGAAGACATGAATGACACGTACAGGTTATTCTGAAATACAACTTAAATATCTTATGAGCCACAAGAGGTCTTTGTGCACTAACACAGGCTGATGAGAAGAGCAGCAAGATGGGCATTCCCTGGGATAATGCTGGCTTTTCCTAATATCCCTCCTCCACAGGTTGCCCAGAAGCAGGGGTTCGGATCTGATTTCAAAGGGAACACAAATCAAAATGCTCTTTTTTTTTTTTTTTTTCCATTTTAGATTCTAAAAGGCTCGTTTTATGCAGCTGGAAGCTCATTTAGCTTCTCAACCATGGATTTTGATCACTCTGGTGAGTGAATGTTTCACTATGCACCAGTTAAGCCACCGTGTCCCAAAGTTGTCCCCACAAGCAGCAGGCAGGCAAAACTCAAACTCAGGGCTGCACAAGTGCCTTTGAAGGTGACACTGCACCAACCTCCTCTGTGAAATGACTGAAATATCCCTCTTTTCCAAGGTAGTGTTTTGAAACTTAAAGGACTTAACTAAACCCCTGCAACAGTTGGTCTATTGAGAGGCTCTGGCTCATGTCCCACATTTCATGGCCAAGTCCAAGACACCTCCCAGTGCCCCATCCTCTGGTCGCCCTCATGACCCCACAGATCCATCTTTGCTGCAGAGGAAATGCTCCTTTTTTTGCCCCAACTCAGACAAAACCAAGACAAAGAGGAAATAGATCCCTTCAGTTTT